AGTGCTTCTAACAAATTTGCTTTATAATCAAATTTTTTTAAAAAAAAATATATCTTTATTGATTTCAGAGAGAGGAGAGGAGAAGGAGAGAGAGAGACAGAAACATCAATGATGAGAGAATCATTGATCAAGCCCACAACCCGGGCATGTGCCCTGACTGGGAATCGAACCCCGATCACCTGGATCCTAGGTCGATGCTCAACCGCTGAGCCACGCCCGGCCGGGCTCAAATTTTAATAATATTGAATTGGTTTAAAGCATTTAAATCATTAATTTGATTTATTTAATGTAAAAATGAAAAAACTAAAATTTTATATCAATGCCTAATTTGTATCTTACCAAGGAAATCTTACATTTGAAATACAATTTGTTGAAACTCAGAATCTTATATAAGGTAGACATGGAATAAAGGGACATTTGTTACATTAAAATATGTATTTTTTCTTAAAATGTTAACTGTTATACTCCATTAACTTTTTCACTATAGTTTGAGATTTTAATTATACTTTGCATTTTTATTTTACAGTATAACTCCTCTAAGGGAAATCTAACTTTAATAAGAAGCTTTCTGTTTGATGTGATGAACCTACTCAATGTGGTAAGATATTTGTCCTGTAAACATGTGTGTTTCCACATTGGACCTGGGGCTTTCTACAGTTTCACCAGATAAGGAGTTGGGAGGGCCACAGTGGTTTAAGTTCAGCAGTTTTGAGAAACTTGGCAGACAAGGAAAACATCAAGGTAAAATCATATATACTGTAGCAAAGGCAACTTCTAGAATTTCTATTTTCAAAATGGGATACATTTATCCATTATTTGTGGTCGGCAAAGGATCTAAAACACTAAAGAAATCTCAAAAATTTTAATGAAGGAAAATGGTCTTCCCACAGATTTATAACACCATAGATGTTCAAGTGGCCTTGGTAGGTATGGAAATCTGGTCTGATGGTGATAAGATAAAGGTGGAACCCAACACAGGCATCACCTTTAACAACTTTCTGAATTGGCATCGTTCTAACCTGGGGAAAATGAAGCCCCATGACCATGCTCAGCTACTCAGGTGAGCGAACACTGGCCAGGGCCAGGCATATGTAGGCAGAGTGGATAATTATCCCAAAGGTCCCTTGGCAGATATTACTGTTCAGTTATATATTCCCAATCACTTATCAGAGAGCTTGGAGTTCTACCCTTAGCAATTCACTTGTGAGATTACTGGAAATTTGTGTCAGATCACTAAAATGGATTCTTGGATGTGGGACAAGCATCTACAGTCATTATAATTCTATGGAATAGCATAAGTTTTTCTGGGGCCTAGTGAATATAAAAAGGGTAGGGCAACAAGGGAAATCTAAAACATAATTGAATGGTTCCAAAGACTCAGATTGTGACAATGTACCTGTATCTTTCACACAGTGGAATTACCTTCAACAGTCATCGTATAGGACTGGCAGCTTTGAATTCCTTGTGTTCCCCAACTTCGGTGGCTGTTATTGAGGTTTGTAAACCTATAGTAAAGCTCCCTGTGGTTTTATATCTTCTGTGAGGACCAGCATAATGCCTTACGTAGAACAGAGTTAGTACAATGGGCATTTGCTGAGCCAATAAAGAAAAGTAGAAATAAAACTACTGGTAGACCATTACACTGGCGGTTCCTTGGATTACAGCACAGAATATTTCCTTTCATTGACTCTCCCAGAAGTCTTAACTCTTCAGTTGGTATTGGGGAGTAAAAGCAAGAAGATTGGGAGAGAAAGGAAATTCAGGTGTTCTCTGTGACCTGAGCCAACTTCAAATTAACATCCCCAGGACTGATGGCCAGAGAGGTCAGACAAGGTGCACGTTGGTGTGATGTGGCCAAGCACTACCAACGTCAATAGTCTTCGGAGGCCTTTGAGTACATAGTATGGCATCTTTTAATACTTCCTTTGAAGAATGTAGTTACCTTAATATAACTGGTTTGCTAAGAAATTATCATTAGTTCAGCAAATTTTTATTAAGAACTGACTCAATGATTGATTTACAGGAGCCACTCATTTCAAATGTTTACTCAACTCTTTACAATAACCAATGGCAGGAAAAGGAACCTAATGACTAATTAATTTTTATTTGTCAAACTATCAACTATCGTTTTACTACTGAACATTGGTAACAATTAAGAATAAACTGAATCAAAAATGAAGTAACAGATGTTTTTATTTTTCCCAAGGCTAGGAAAAAGAATAGTGTGGCTCTTGTAGGAATGATGTCACATGAGTTGGGCCATGTCCTTGGTATGCCTGATGTCCCATATAACACCAAGTGTCCCTCTGGGAGTTGTGTGATGAATCAGTATCTGAGGTGAGACCTTGTCACCCTACAGGAACAAATATGTATTTCTTAAATCATAAAGAATTCAGATGTAGTCTCTATAATTGGATGTGCATTTTGTGTGTGTGTGTATGTGTGTGTGTGTTTACCAAGGGCTGTTTATCCCATTAATTCACCCTCCATCATCTTGATGCACAAGTTTTACCAGCTATTAGGCTCATTATTTAAGATTTCCAAAATTATACCAAGATAGAGCATAAGTATGGTGACCGTGTTATTTTAAGTTAAAATAATATTAACTTCAAATAATATATTTTCAAAAATATGCATCTAATGAAGATGATGACAACTATCCTTACCATCAATCAATCAATCCACCCACTTTTCTGTTATTAATTACCTTCTGATGCCAGACACTTTGCAAGGACTTGGGATAAAATAAATGAATAAAACTAGCTCTTGAAGTGCTCATAGGACCAGAAATACACCCATAGAACCCCTAAGTCTGCAATTACTTCCTTTTACTAAGTTATTGTTATCACTTACTTCTCAACACTCGATGGCTAAATAAGCCAATGATAACAGCTGAGGGAGCTCCTGCCAATTAGGACAGCACTGAGTCCAGGCTGGAGTTTCAGTTCCTCCAGCCCTACCACTGGGTGGCTAGGAAAACTGTTTTCCAACCAGCAGAGTGTGCACGCTCTGTCGCCTTCCACATATAACACAGTGCAGGCCTAAACAGGCACTAAATTGGGAATTTCCATTGAGCCAGGTAATATTTTTAAACAGGTCAGATTTTCAAGTTAATTTATCACAGTGTATAGTGATATTGCTGATCTTCTTTTCTGGTTACAGTTCAAAATTCCCGAAGGATTTCAGTAAATCCTGCCGCTCACATTTTGAAAGATACATGCTATCTCAAAAACCAAAGTGCCTGCTGCAAGCACCAGATCCCAAAAGTATAATCACAAAGCCAGTGTGTGGGAACCGACTTCTGGAAGTAGGGGAAGAATGCGACTGTGGCCTTCCTGAGGTATGACAATACCCACCGTTTAAAAAACTTATTATTAAGTGATTGTGGCATACCTGTGTTCTTCCCTTTTCCTTTTCTAAAAAAAAAGTTTTTTGGGGGGAAATTTTCTTCTAAAGACAAGCTTGGAATCATAGTGAAAAGAAGACTTGCACTTATGTTCTTAGTGCTGATTTTAGGCTTCTTTCGAAAGGCATTTCAAAAGCCAGGATACTACTATGACCTGATTGTATGAAGTTCAATATAAAGAGGTAAGTCATGAACTAGAGTGTGTCACTTAGGAGCTTTCCTAGATACATCAGTGAGCAATCCTATGCCACAGGAAGTCACAGTTGGTCATCTATGGAGCAATCACCATTACAGATCTAGATGGAAGTCCTCTCCATAGAGAGAGCTGTCTTTCTCTCATCCAGCCAATCTGTATACCAGGCAGTAAATAAAACAGAGAAAGCGAAAATAGAATAAGGGCATAAACTTGTAAAAAGTGGGTTATTAGCAGTGAATATCTAAGATAATTACTGTCAGTCTGCTAGTGTCTGAAACCTGACGCCTTCGAGGCATCAGTGCGCTCTACAGACTGTCTCCGATGGAATGTTCCATAGCGATCCCGCATGAAGTTTCTACAAGAGAGCATTCTGCTGTTGTTTGTTTGTTTGTTTTAGCAATCTTTCACTTTTAAGACTAAAAATTGAGTTAATATTTGAAGCAATTTTCTGTGTCAGTCTACAAAATGCTTTTATATATATCAACTCCTTTATGACTCACAACAAACCTATGAAATAGGTTTTGCTATGATCCCAAATTAGAGGAGAAGCAGTGAGGCTCAGAAAAGCTGAGTAACTCCTTTCCAGGATACAAAACTAGTAATTAGTGAGCCCATTGCAGCCCAAGATTTATCCATTACTTTAAGAGGTTCTGTTAAAAAGGGGAAGGCATGAACTATCTCTGTGCTTCACTTTATTTATTCAGAACTTTTAACCTGTTGAATTGTATTAGAAGATTACATGGTGCAACTTAATGATTCATAAAGCATTTTGCAAATGTTTTATTAATGGTAATGAGATATGGAATTTTAATATGATTTACTATTTTATAAATTAGTTAGACTTGAGTTTCACATTCTTATTTGCTTACACTCCCATACGTTTCTCAGGTGAAAGGCAACTGAAGTTGTTCATGATCCTAGGTACTTCTACTTTCAGCAGGCAAATGGCATACATAGTACATACACTTTATATAGTATTCTTCAGTGACTAATCCAGTTTCCCATGATCTGATGTGCCATTTGGGTGTGTGTGTTTTTATGTACATATTTAAGTGTTTTCTAGGTCTTAAAACTAATCATTCTATCTGTCTAAATATCATAATACAAGCATCATGTTATTTTAATGATTGTAATATACAATGCATTTTAATATCTTTAATGGTCTCTTCATTATCTATCTATCTATCTATCTATCTATCTATCTATCTATCTATCTATCTATCTATCTATCTATCTATCATCTATCTATCTATCATCTATCCAGAATTTGCATAGCAATTCTTTAATGTTTATTTTTCCATATAACTCTTGCTTTTTTTTTTTGTCAGTTTGTCTACAAATACAATTGAGATTCAGATTGAAATGCATTAAATCCACATTTCACTCTGAAGGCCACTAGCATTTTCACATTGTATTTCTTAAAAGACAATTAGCCTTGAAAGTGCCCCAGAAAAGTTATATATAAAGTTCTTCCTGTAATTCTGGAACATTTTGAATTCTAAAGTATGTTCTTTTTTTTGTTATTAGTATGTGTAATGTTATTTTTATTTTAGGTTCTAATTTATTATCACTTTTTATGTTATTTGATTATCTTAAACAGCTGTCTTAGTGACTTGCCCAATATTTTTAGAGTTGATCCTATGTTTTTTTCTAGGTTGAGAACCTTATCACATACAGATAATGAAAATGTGATTTATACTACCCAATTATTACACTTTCCTATCTTTTTCTCGTCTCATAGCATTTATCAGGCTTCCCATATAAATATAAACTATAAATAATCCTTGTCTTATTCTTTATTTTATTGGATATGTTTTTGTTATTTATCAGACAGATTTTCTTCATCATGGTGATACATAGTTCTGTTCACAGTTTACTTACATATGTCTAAGTAATGCAATAATGGCTACTGAATTTTTACCAACTAATTTTTGGCATCTATCACAATGAAAGTTGTTTTCTTTCTGAGTCTCTTCATGTGATGAATTATGTTACTCTGTTCTGTGCAGGTGAGACACCCTCACGCTTGGTGAGAAAAACACTACATAGTTGTAATAGAGAGTTATTATATTAATAAAATGATGCTTTACTAATAGTTTATTCAAGCTTTTGCATTTAAATTCATAAACAAGAAGTGTGTGTGTGTGTGTGTGTGTGTGTGTGTGTGTGTGTGTTCATTACCAGTTCTCATTATCAGAATTATGCAATCTTGGTAAAATAAATTGAAGATTTAAAATACTTTTTTCCTCTCTCTTCAGTTTGTATAGTATAGAAATAGTCTCTTGAAGTTTTAAATTACATGATATCCTAAGACAAATTTATTTGGAGTGATTCTTGGATAATTCTGGTTTTTGTCCTTTTAAGAGGTAGTTTTTATTACTCTTAATTTTTTTTATTATTAATATTCCTTGGTCATTTCCAGTATAACTTGTATAGCAGAGTAATTTAGTTTAAAAAGGGAAGGTTTATTGCCTCCTCGCACCAGAATTCTCTGGGGAAAACTGCTGAACCCACTTTCCCGTTGTGTGTGTGCTTTAAAGGACTGTCCCAATCCTTGCTGTGAGGCCACGACCTGCAGGATAAAACCTGGCGCTGGCTGTGGAGAAGAGACTCTGAACCATACGAAGTAAGACCTTTATTTTCTTTCTTTGTTCTCAAATATTTTCTCACTTCTATTTCATATTTGAGAAAGATGTGACACTGAGTTCTATAATACATTAAACCACAATTTATTTCACATTTAAAAAGTGACTCAGTTTCAGAAAGGAACAATAAGCCATCATTATGAACATAAATAACATACGAATGAGCAAATGGCTACTTTGTCATCTGTGAGATTAGGACTGCTGAAATATGTGCTAAAAATTGAATACATTTCTGTTAGGTAGTGATGAGTTTAATGACAGCTCAGATAAGAGAAGAAAAGTTCATTTTATTTTATGTTAATTAAGTGTATTGGGGTGACATTGGTTAATAAGATCATATAGGTTTCAAGTGTACATGCCTATGATACATGATCCATATATTGCATTGTGCACCCACCACCCAAAGTCAAATCATCTTCCATCACCATATATTTGGCTCCCTTTTAAACCCCATCACCCACCACCTACCACTCCCTTCCCTCTGGCAACCACCAGGCTGTTGTCTGTGTCTTTGAGCTTCGGTTTTATATCCCACATGAATGAAATCATATGGTTCTTAGCTTTTTCTGACTGACTTATTTCGCTTAGCATAATATCCTCAAGGTCCACCCACGTTGTCGCAAATGGCAGCATTTCCTCCTTTCTTATGGCTGAGTAATATTCAGTAGTATATATGCATCACATCTTCTCTATCGAGTCCTCAATCACAGGACACTTTGGTTATCTCCATGTCTTGGCCACCGTGAATGGTGTTGCAATGAACATAGGGGTGCAGATATCTCTGCGAATAAATGTTTTTGAGTTTTTTGGGTAGATACCCAGGAGAGGGATAGCTGGCTCATGTTGTAACTCTATTGATAAGTTCATTTCAAAAAAAGCCCTGATTGATGAACAAATTTTACTCTTGGTTAAGAGCTGGTAGTTGTAATTCGTGAGGTAGTCAGGAAATCAGTAAGATTTGATGATTTTCTTTCTTAAAAATGTATTTTATTTTTTTATTTTTCATTAAACTATAGTTGACCTACATATTTTATGAGTTTCAGGTGCATAACTTAGTGATTCAGCATATATATCTCACAGTGTGATCACCACGATAAGTCGTGTGCTGTCCTGCAAAGTTATTATGATATTATTGACTCTAGTCCCTGTGCTGTACATTACATCCTGTGGCTTATTTATTTTATAACTGGAAGTTTGTACCTTTTATTCTCCTTCCACCAAACAAAACAAAACAGAAACAGACTCATAGATACAGATACACACTGGTGGTTGCCAGAGAGGTAGGCAAATGGGTAGAAAAGACTATTCCTTTTAAAGTGTCTCATGAAAGGACAATCCACATAGTATTTTTGTGTTTTATATAATCTTATATGAGCTAGACGAGGGAATCCAAGTGCTCTGAATATGGTACTTTTTTCAGTGAAAAAATAGTCTCTGAATCTAAAAATAATAACAACAAAAAATCATACCTAGGGGAAAGACTTGGGTAAAATCGTGGGGGGAGACGTCATTCCTTCCCCTCTCTCATGAATCTCTTCTGGGCTGAAATGGGAGAGAGATTATGGAAATAATCAACTCAGTCGCTGCAGACTGTGGCTTCCTCAGGAAAGGACCGGCAAGGTCAAGGACAAGGAGCTCCACTCCCTTATTTACAAGGTGCCCGTTGCTCGCTGGAACTCTTTTGTGGGCCACTCTGCAGGGAATTCTGGAAACTGTGCCTGTCTTCGAATTCTGTCACAGAGGCTGGAGGGTAGCATTTCAAAAAATATCCATCCAATGCTTTCAGGGCTTGGAATGATAGGTGGGCATGTCCCACGGCTGGGCCAGATCGACAGTTTAGTAACAGGCGAAGAGAACTGAACTTGGACTCAGGAGAAAGCTTCAGTTCTTTTCTTAGTTCCACCCAAAATGAGCTGTGGCACTTTAAGCCAAGTCTTGTAATTAATTTTCTCAACTATAAAATGGATCGAATGATATTGCCTCTCAGTAGGGTTGCTAGTATTATTTAAATTCTATAAATGTTCATTATCATGATTACATAATATTTTATAATTTATGCTAACCATGGCTTCCAAACTTTTTCTCTTTTAATCAGTGATTGAATCAAAAAATCTCCTTCATTGAGACGCTTCTTGCCAGGACAAGCATCAAGATTTCAGAACATACCAGGATTCTTGTGCATGTTCGCCTTCACACTTAGATATATTTTGCTTTTTATTTGTCATTACCCTTCCTATAGTTTCGCCAATCCAGGTCACAGGTAAATAGATGTACTTAAAGAAGTTGCCTGTTTTCTAAGACCTGATCTTGAACACATTTTTAAGGATCATGAGGCTGTTGTTTGGCTCTGCTCTTTGGAAAAACCAAAGAAATTAGCCCTTGACCAAAACACCTTAAAATGCACTGTGGGATTATTCAGAGTGAGTCCAGAATTGTAAAAGTACAGGGGACTTGTATTTCAACTCCACTTTCATTTGATTAGTTATAATCCATGAAAAACAAACACTGTGATTTGATGAGTGAAGCCTGTGATTCATGGGGCATTTACAACTCCTCTGTCTTCCACTTGCCTTGCTCTTAGAACTGTGGTATTTTTCTATATCATGTCAAGATTAATTAAATATAAACATTTTTAATTGTATCATGCATAATCTTTTCACTAACACTGACAAAGTTAATTTTGAGAGGTCTGCATTACTTACATTTTAATTCAGCCATCAAGGAATACTTTATTCATCTATGGATTTAATGAACCACAATGCCAATGAATAAAACCACCTTTTGAAGCTTTCTCTGTGGTCATTTTCTAAAATGAATATTTCCAAGCTTTGTTGTAGGTTTGTGTTAGGTGTTAAAGCCTACATAATTAGACAGTGTTCCCTCTGGGCATTCTCTCTGTGTCCCATTGTCTTTTTTTTTTTTTACTTTACTATATCTTTATTGATTTCAGAGAGAGGAAGAGAGAGGGAGAGAGAGAGATAGAAACATCAATGATGGGAGAGTCATTGATGGGCTGCCTCCTGCACGCCCCCGACTGGAGATGGAGCCCGCAACCCCGGCATGTGCCCTGACTGGGAATCGAACCGTGACCTCCCGGATCCTAGGTCTATGCTCAACCGCTGAGCGACACCCGGCTGGGGCCCCATTGTCTTTTAATGCTCAAAATGAAATGACTTGAGGCCAGTCACACGAGAGGACTAGCCTTCTCTCTGAGGTTTCTCTCTCTAAATACTTTTAGACAATTATTATTTTTTTTAAATTACTAAAATGTCCATTGATGCCTGTGCTAGAAGAACAGGGATTTAGACATGCTTCTGAAGATTGGGCTCTGAAAGGAACAGCTTTTCAGGAGGCCCTGACTGCTGTCTCCCCCCTTCAGGGCCTCACTGTTATTGGTGGGTTTGGCACTACCAGTGTCACAGTGGAGTGGGCACTGGGGTCAGAGTCGCCAATAGCCAAGCTCCAGCCCCTGGGCCTGGCTTATCTCCTCTGTCCACTGGTCTGATATAAACTTCCAGCCAATTCCTCCAGGGAAAAGGTTTCTTTAGGCATATGTGCTGCTCCCCCCCCCCCCCCCCGGGTTAGCTAGAGGCT